CGTTTCTCATGATCAAGCATTAATTTCACGGCCAGGTGACCCAAGGGCGGCATCGAGGCTAAAACAAGCATGGAAAGTGGTTAAAGTGCCGACGTTATTGCAATTGACAAATATCGATAGTTGTCCTAAAATTTGTTATACGAGTGAACAAATTTCGAAAAAGGAATTAACGATGGACTCGCTTTGCATCTGGTGTGCGTCCTCTCAATTACTTATCTCCTACGAGCTGCAGTGCTTACGAGTACTTCTAGGGGAGTACCAAGCCGATTCAAATAAATTCGGTGTCAGTTCACTTGCGTCAGCACACGGATGTATTTGTTGGAAATATTTAGAGCTGATTAAGTACTGGAAGTACTGAGACATCTGCACAGGTCGGATGGTATAACTGACAGGGTGGCCTAGAGCAATCCAGTTGGACCACAAGACCAACGTGGACAAGATACCAGAGGACTAGTCCTGATATCTGCGTCTGCCTCTAGGGTTCTCATTCATTCAAATAAAATCAGTACTTCGCCCGAAAGTACTTTTCAGTGCTGCTTCAAACAAGCTCAGCACTTGTGACCCTAAATAGAAACGCCATCATGGCGAGACAAGGCCAACGGTATATAATTCATCTAAATCGGTCCAGCCGTTTGTGCTCCATGACACCCCGTGAACATTGCAATAGTAAGCATTTTTTAGTTCTTTCAATACGTGTTCAGCCCCGTGTATTACCCACAAACACATCCTTGTGTTGAGACGAATCAAAGCATACCTCATATGTTCAAATCAGGTCGACACTTTCCCGAAAGAACTTTTCAGCTCTGTGACCACCAAGAGATGAGTATTTGAGAATCCCAGAGGTTACACTTCCAAGACAAAACGAGTTCATCAGTACTCCAGTCGAAATGGGTTCAGTAGCCATTGTTCTGGGGTTCCTGTCGATTTTTTTAATTGCAAGAACTTTGGTACTCAACCACTTGCCGTACTTGTTCGTCCTCAGCACCCCCCTCGGAACCTCCCGAGGGTCATCTCACCCTAAATTCAACGCTGGAAGACGCAAAGGATGATTCAAGTTCCGACCCCTTAAGCTTAAAATCCGTCACCCTCACTTACGTTTTGAAATGGATGGTTTTGGGTTCAATATCATACGAGAGAAAAATGCACACGCGGTTCATTCGCGTTTTGAGATCAGACATTGGTGTAATTAGGCTGAAAAAGGCAGATTGAATTTCTTGTATTTTCAATTCTGTGATGTAAGGGGTGGATTTTATGGCAGGGTTGGAATCTGTCTCGCTTACCCTGTGAGACTAGACTGGAAGTGATGTGCATGATTCATGGTCAGGAGATGTCTCTTAACATAGGAGCTATTGGGAACAGCGATACGGGCCCTTGTTTAGAGTCCTGAACGGGCTGCGGGTAAACCCGATTGGTCCGACTCGATCCTATCCGCGGACCGTTAAGAACTGTAATCTCTAATAGCTAGGCAAAGCTCAGACCTCCCTCCCGTCCCCTTCCCATCATTACCGTCTTGACATACTCTGCTCGCACTTCCTAACGCCCTTTATAAAAGAGGAATGCTAATGCCAGTACTACTTGCATCTCGGATTGGGCGTGGCGACATAAGGAATTGGCACTGTTTCAGTTCTGGTCGGCCGTGAAGTTCGATTGCCAATAGGATGCAGGCCAGATCTCGTTGATGCCGGTCAGGCCGGGTTTGTCAAAACCGGGCCTCATAGGACTCTACTCTCGTTACCCCTCTGGGTATTTTTCACTCTATGCTCACGCAGTCTATTGAAACTTTCGCGGGCTTTTCTTTCTCCCGGCATTATATATAAGTAGAGCGCAATAGCATCTCTCACTCGGCGGCCCGGCTAGCTCAGTCGGTAGAGCATGAGACTCTTAATCTCAGGGTCGTGGGTTCGAGCCCCACGTTGGGCGTGCTCACTTTTTGTTCTTCAATTTAATCTCAGCCAATTCATACTCGAAAAAGTTATAATGAAAAAAAAAGAAAAAAAAATTGACCAGGCTGAAATTTTACATTCCGTACCGTAATACGGGCATGTCACATCGACAACTGCTCTCAACGTGGTGCCTTAATTTAAAGGAATGAAGCAAGAAACAAACCAAACTGAGAAGACTCACCGTTTGGCTTTGACGTAAAAGCCTTTGTAGTCGTCGTATTGTGACCAGACATTCCTCGAGAATATCGGCGCTGCAGGAAAAAAGAAAGGGAAGAAAATGATGACTCCAAACGAGTCGGGTCCGTGAAACTCGACGGAATATGGAGAGAACAGGTTGACCTAGGCAACTAAGGGGAGAATGGGGGGGAGTTGTGGAAGGATTCCGCCGGTTTTTCCCGCTTCTTTGCCTCGACCCCGACCCCCTAGGACACGAAGGGAAGAACGCAGACGCCGACGCCTGTGTCTTCCCCTTCCACTCTCGCCCGGAATGATGATGAGCACGAATGCTCACAGGTTCCGGGAGTGGAGAGTGAGAATCATCTCGTAGGTCCGCTTGTTCATTCAACACTTGGGAGACACTATACCACTGTACTATTGCCATCTCCTTTCACGGGGTGGCCGGGATATCAAATCCAAACCCTCTCACATCATACGAACACGCCATGTATGTGTCTGTCTGTGGTTTCAATGTCCTCCCACCGGAGAAGGAGGGAGATCATGCTTATTACTACGAAACGGAATCCAGGGGCGGAACTGACGCTGGGGGAACGTAGACGACAATTACCGGGACGCCTCAATATTGCATTCATTTTGCATTTCTTTTTTTGAATGTACCTCAAATCAACACTTGTCTATTAGTATTCGACCCTTGTGCGATTGTACTTTAAATATGCATAATGATCTGTGACTTTGAAAGAGGAAGGGGGGAGGTGATTGAGAAGACCCCCCCCCCCCCCCCCCCCCCCCCCCCAAAAAAAAAAAAAATTAGTTTCAATGAAAATGAATGGCTATGGTAATGAACATTAACGTCATAGAGCAGAGGCATTTTTTAAATTATTAATGAGGAGGGGGGGATCTATTTATTATTAATATTATTATTATTTAGATGGATATGGTATGGTGGCAGAGGCCGCCTCTGGAAGCGGTTGCTTCCCATGACCCTCGAGTTCATGGCACAGGAAGACTCCTGTCCTTTTCCCTTTCCTTTTCCCTTCTCAATCACCTCCCCCCTTCCTCTTTCAAAGTCACAGATCATTATGCATATTTAAAGTACAATCGCACAAGGGTTGATCGTCCCCTTCCCCAAGTCCCTTCTCGGATTCCCGATCCTTGGGTCCAGCCTTCCGTGGAACGAAAATTCATCCGTTATGCATTGTGACTGAAGGGCATGTAAAGAAAGAAAGATGAAAGAAATCAGCGAGGAACGGAAGGAAGGAAAGAAATCGTCCTACTTTTACAGGTCCTTTCCATCAACCCCGTTTCCACCCATCAACGTCTCGGCATGAAAAGGATTCCTTTTATAGCCCTTCCCTTACCCTTGTCATGAACAAACGATTTCTGTTCCATTAGGAGCTGTTTATTATATGAAATTGAGTGTGACACGCTCAAAATTAATGAACCACGTTCAAGATTTATTAATACTATTATTTACGTCAGATGTGTTTCATGATTGTTTCCGCGAATGAACGTCATACTCCAGAACCTAGTTCAGGTACCTCCTTTCGTGAAATTGTTTATGTTGTTCTAGAATTTCGTTTAGTTTCGTTTAATATTTCAATATAATTTTTGGCTATGTAATTTCTTAATCTAAGCAAATACTATCGACGTTGGGATATTCGTCATGGTATGTCATGAATAAAAAAGTTTATTTACAATCTTCAATTACCACTTTCCCCCAAAGTCAAGTATTAAGTGAAGGGCGACAAGTGTATAGAGAGTGACAGTTGGCTTTCCCTCCACTCTTAAAAGAAAGTGAGCGATATCCAAGAAAGGGAGCGAAACTGGAGTTGGCACTTTTACTCCCTAAAAACGAAGAAGTGCAATCGATAACTACTCCTTTAAAAGAGCAAAATCAATATATTTTTTAAGAGTACGAAACGAATGAGGGAGAGTACTTTTCAAACTAGTGGGAAAAGTTAGTGGATATTTTCAGGAAAGAGAGAGGTGAGCGGCATTACTTCCTTGTTTTTAGGGGAGTAAAACCGCTAACTCCAGTTTCGCTCCCTTTCTCGGAAATCGCTCACTCTTTTCTAAGAGTGTAGAATGATTTATCCGATCCTAACGGAAAGGAAAGCTAGGAAAGAGAGGAAATGAATGACAAGATTCAAATTCCAGGATGAAGGAGATGACAAAACTTAATACCAGCGAACATGACAACCTGTCCATGTCCGGCACAGATTCGTAGAAAGAAAGGATTGGATCTCGATGTACGGTAATATCGTCAGGGACGGAAGTGAAAGGGCGACGGAGGAATGTTAGAATAGCAATGAAGCTTGAGAATAAAAGATGGAAGAATGTCGTTTTCGGTTGCTTCTTGTTCATTCGAGTCCCATCATTGTACTTGTTCCCTTCCCTTCCGCCTTGGGAGGTCCATCTTGAAAAAAGTCACCTCTTTCCATATCAATGAATGTTATGTAGTCTGATCTGGACTGGAAACCCTATTTTGAAAACTTTCACCATCGGAAACTGATTTTTTTCTTATTTAATGAGGACAGGGATTGTAATATCATTTACTTTTTTGCAGTCTATTTCTTTTTCTGTGTTTTGGAGACTCGCTTCTTGGGAATGAAGACATTTTTAATTCGCTAATTTCTTGCTGGGGCACTGTTCGCGCTACAAAATAACACACGCATGTGCACATAGAATTCATATAGAAATATTATAAGAAACTTATTTCAGTCATAAAATACCAAGCTTATTCAAACACTTGCTTCTCTTCTACAGAACCATTATGATAAAGCGTGCAGCGTTTAACTTTCTTGGTTCACTCCAACAAAGAATCCTGATCAAAAGCCTACAGGTTTTCTAATTTACTGCTGATTCACCAAAGCAAGTTTTTCAGATGTCCTCATAAGCAAGGCACCATAATATGTAATTTGAATAGTCATCTATCACAGCAAAAAGGGCAGGTTCCAGAGCCATTGCAATCACGAAGGCAAGGGTACTGGCAGACTCCCAAGAGGAAACGCCTAGCGCCAAAGTAACTCCACCGGCATTAATAATGACAGCATAAAGGAATCCAGATTCAATGAGAACAGAAGTCCAACAAAAGACGATTCTCTCCATTTGGTACATCCCTTATGTAACTATTCATGCTACAAGGCTTCGAGGTCGAAAACTCAATATAATGACTAGGGATATCCCAACAACAAAGATAAGAAATAACCTGAAAAATGAGACCTCGAACCCGACAGTACCAGCAATCATGGCCTTTCTGAACCCAGATATTTGCTGCTCTTCCATCTAAAGGAGCATTAGCACGACTCCAAAATACGGAACTCGAACTTCTGCCTCTTTCTTCTCGAATATAGGGTGACTTAAAAAAAAAATTGCTCTCTCGTTTTCTATGGGAGAAACAAAGTTTCATAAGTGCAAAAAAAAAGTACATTGGCTAAGCGATCGACATTGAACGGTTACAAGGTGTTGAGATGCATGTCAGCTTTTTTCAGCACCCCTCATTAAGTCGTGCAATGCCCATTTAGAGGTGAATTAAAGGTGTTTAGAGGTGGATCATTCCATCTCAAGTGAGGTGACGATGATCTGTGCTCGATCGTCGCAGAATTCAATGAAATTTGGCAAGCGGTCGGATTATTTTGAGAATAGCCCATAGAAAAAAAAAACAAATGTCTGTACTTCGAGCGGAGACCAAGAAAAGTGAGTTTTAATTTGATAATGGGGACACAAAATGGCCCCAGACCCCCAGATGCTAAATTCCTGACTACACGGTTAATATAATGTCACCACCGTATTTTGATTTACTAACTTTTCAAGGGACAGTTGGATGCAGCTGGTACTTGACAGAGAGGTTCATGAGTGTAAGCGGTTTTTTCACATCCGCAAGATGGCACTGTATGTCGATAGAGGGCGCTGTTGCTGACCGGAGGGCCTCCTATCTTCGTACTAAGCCACTTTTTAGGCAGGAAAACAAAACCTGTAAGCTTTATCTTTTGAGCCTTTGAACCTTACATGAGCCTTTCTACCAAATATCAGTTTTATATGAGAGCCCTTTCAAAAGATTTGGGGTGGATTTATTAGCGCCGCTAAAGGAGGTTTAAAGCTCCATTACGCTTAAGTCAGATTTATGCAATCCACCCTTGGTTTTGAAGCCAATTTAAAAAAATATGAATTTAGTCAAAATCAGTTAAAGGCCCAAACAGGGCAAACTACTCTATTTGAATTTTGAGATGATGGAGCATAGACCATTACTGCATTTGAGTTTCCTGAGAAAAACCCAGACAATCTTCTCAACACCTTTTATATGTTCAATATCAAGAATTTATTAATCTTATCATTTTTGCTCGAATATACGAATCTTACTTTCTCTCATAGAAAACGGGGTAGCGTTACCCCGTATTATATCACCCTATGCACATCATTCAGAAAACAAGATACTTCTATGGGTGCGGATTCAGGGATCTGTGATCCTTCGAAATATCTTCACGATAGAGAAGGAAACGAAGCTGAAAACCCGTCGATACATAATGGCGTAAAAATCATGCAGGATTACGCTCCCAATAGCAAGGAAACAAGGCTGCGTGGAATAAAATTGTCTGCAAAGAGCAAAATTCTCATGCACTGTAGCAATAGGAAAAGTCTTGCTTTCTTATATGGATTAGGCCCGCTCTAGCAAAAGAGCCCTGAACTAAAAGGAACGGGGTAAGACCTCATTTGTTTTGATGAATTCAGTACTTTCCTTTAGAATGTTGTAAAATACTAGTTCAGTCCTTGCAACCCATAATATAAAATCTGTTAAGCACGACAAAGCACACCTGTTGCTATTCGGTTCTCCTCGAAAAACATTTAAGAAGTTCATGTATCCGTTCAGCCTTTAGTACCCCAAAAATACACACAAATAAGAAGATCCTAACTCCAAACGCGCCTCTTTGTTCAGATATAGTATTTCACGAAAAGTACTTTTAAACACTGGTAGAATTAGGAATTCAGCACTTGAGTACAACTGAGAACCACCAGAGCAAATCGAGTTCATTGGAGCCTCATTATTTCCAATCGGTTCAATAGTGTTGCTCTAGGGTGGTCTGTAAAGAGCGCTGAAGCTCCTCCCTGAAGGACGAAGCCAACCCCCAACTTCCCCGAACCTTCCCAACCCACCTACTGTACTTTCTCATCTCCGTAAAAAGCTGGATGGTTATGCATGAAACCAGTTGGACTCCGAGATCTTCGGGAACGAAGGAAAAATACCTCTCTTGGAGCTCTTGCGGGACTGTAAACGTGAGTTTTTATTTTTTTTAATTAATTAATTTATTAATTTATTTATCAATTTATTTCATTTTTTGAGGGGGGGGGGGGGGAATTGTATGAGGAAGACCTAATTCACACTGCAACTCCATCTATAAGACACTATTATGTCTATCGTGCATTTTAATGAATGTTACTCACCGATTCGTGATTGTCCCGGGTCCCATGTCTTCAGCGTCTCGTCCAACTGCAATATAATAATAATAAAATAGGTGTCACTCTCCATCCAAGATGCTGCTTTTCAGGATGTAAAGCGCCCTTCCAGCAAGTTATCATCAATACCTCACTTCCACGCGTTCTCGTAACTTTTTCTTCTCCTAAAATCTCATTTGAGGAATACTACACGAAACGTGAAGTATGGGTTGACTAGCTAGGTCAGAAGTGAGTGAACATTTTAGCCTGTTTGCCTCACGAAAATATGCAAAAGCCTTCGCGGACTACAGTAGTTTAATAGTCCTCTCGAAGATCTTCAAGCTCGGAATATATCCTACTGTTGCGCCTATAGATCCCTTGCCCGCCTTTGTACTGTCAGGCACCTGGAAAGTTGATACGAACTGTAACACTTGATCCCTTAGAAGGGTTCACTTTGTCATGCTGGGAGGGATGTCTGAGCTGTCACTGCATTTCGTTCCTACAAGGCAACAGCTGGAGAGCCGTTCGAAACGCTGCTGTGGGCCGCATCCGGCCCGGCGGCCATAGTTTGCCCACCCTCCTAGGCGGAATTCACATTGATTTATGTACGGTTACTTCATGCGTTAGGTGGTGCAAAATTCTCGTATTATCCACGTAGATTCAACGTAGTAGACGTATTACTTCCACATTTCATGCTCACAGCTTCATGCTTCATGCTCATGCATGACGATCATGCAGTTGGCCTTCCTCTTGAGAAGCACTTGAAATTTCCTTCTCTGAAGCATGAGTTAGAAAGAATAAAACAGAGAGAAATGTATGACTATTATAGTGCCAAGAGTTTTGACTGCTACGAATCCGGAAATCGAAACTACGGAAACATAAAAGAATGTACAAGTAATGTATTAATGTTACTCGTGTGCAGTAATGAAGGTGAGTCTCCATTCGTTTCGTCTAATGTGTTCAAAGAAAAAATCCTCCGCTTTATTTTGTTTACTTTTAACAACCCAGAGCGCAACACAAGTGCGGATTGTTCCATCGTACATTTACTTTACTGTAGATTCGCCTTTTCTTTTCATCTAGTTACTTTTTTTTGTAGCTCTATATGAGTTTCGAATATAGAAAGTCGGATGCCACTAACTGTTCATTTTCCTACCAAATCATTCTACCTGAAGAACACACAAAATAAGTCAGTTAACCGGTGGTGTACGCAAGGGGGGAGGAAAACGGGCGGGGAAATGAAGGGAATGGGGGGCTGAGAGGCTGATGGGCCCCCATGGCTAATTCAACCCTCTACGACACGGGTCAGGAACCTTTTAGGCCAGGTGAGCCAAATTAAGATTGATTTTCAAAACAACATAATTTTTTCCTGAAATTGGCAACAGACACGTGCACAATTTGATGCATAAGAAAAATGAACAACCATGATTTTTAGCCATGACTCATGAGCCAAACTTTTCGGCTCGTGAGCCAAATTTGGCTCATGAGCCATAGGTTCCCGACCCCTGCTCTACGATATCTATTCTACAGTATTTCGAGCCGAATGACTGCAGTTTTGATGCAAAGGAACGATGGGGTTTCGAGGCGAGTCTCGTCGCGGTTGACATTTCCTTACGCTTTTTTTTTTTGCTTATGTAAGTATATATGAGTATTTCATGTCGGCCGGTCTGCTAGTGCACCTAGCATAGCAAGGGTGGGTAGATCGCTTCAGGTGGATCGCCGTTTCTTTGCTTTGCACAGTTGCTTTTCCCACTTGGACGACAGCTAAATTCCACCAGTGTTAATCTTACTCTCGCCAACAACGAAGCAGCTGGACACAGGATAACTGTTCTGGATGGGATAAACCCTCAACATATGACATCATACAGTGGTGTTCTAAGCGGCAATTTCGAATCATTATAATTTTCTCCCTTCCGTGCAAGTTCATTGAAATGATCAATAAATAAAAGTTAAGGGTAAATTTCCCTTACTCTTGATATAATCCAGTTGCTAAAAACTTTTCGAGGCCTCCACTGGACGCAGCCATTTAGAAAGGAAGCATATGGTGAACGTCCATCAGTTCATGTATTGTAAGAATTGTAGTGCAGATTTCGTACTTTTGGTTATTTCAAGAACACCATATGCGCGTTAATTAGTAACATGAGACCAGTTATAAGAGTTAGCACGCACGACTGCAACTTTCCATGATAGCTTAGACATCCCACTCCAGCAAAAAAAAAGCAAAAAACATTAGGAATAAAAAATGGTAAAAAAAAGCCAATGTCCAGTTTCACTATCACGAAACCAGAAGAGAGGTAGGTAGGTCTAGCTGCAAGTAAGGCACTCCTTTCATTACTTCCTTCTCTCTCCTTTAGCACATTTGCTACCACCATCCTGCATGTGATCAGGTGCCCCTCGCTTCGCCATTTTTCCTAGGTTCTAAACAAGTGATAAAAGAAAGCATATGTGAACGACCAACATGCGCTCGAGAACATGGGAAAATGTTCATACACCCAAGCAGCATGTTCACGTAAACAAGATATCAATTTTTTGCAAACAATGTAAATTTCATGCGATTGCCATGAAAATGACATCACATTTACGTAAAATTTACGTTCCTATATTTACGTCACCAAAGTGTACCTGTATTTTACATCAACTAGACGTCTCTCCATCTGACGTGAAGTACATGATATCAAGTTCATGACAAATTAATACCACACCATCCATATGAAACTTTAGCTGACCATCCTGCAGTTGCAGTACCAAGATTCCTCACTAGATGGAATGCTTGTTCCCTGCATCCTACAATTACTATTAAGTACTGGTCTTCCTGATATAGTATCAGGTTTTCTTACCATCCTTCCACTTTTTATTATGCAATCCATGAATATATGCATGGAAAATATGAAATTATTATATATATTTTTATAATATATGACTCAGGGAATCATTAAATGCTGAAGTGAAGCTTTTTATTTCAGCAGTGCACCGGATTAGGGAAGAGTAGAATCCCAACCCCACAAGTACTATATATTCTCTATCCTAAAAGGAAGAGAGCTCCCTTGAACATCTACTCCTCCTCCCGAGGTTCCGGTACGGGAGGAGGAAGCAGTAGGTCACTTTGGTACTCTTAGAGTGCTGGTGAGAATGAGTACTCGTGTACTCCTCCAACCACCCTAGAGTTCTGAAGAACGTAAAGGAATAGGAGATTCAGTATGTCAATTCTCTTCAATGGTACTGGTTGACTCTTTAAATACGCATGAATGCCAGGGGGAAATTAACACAAATCTTACATAAAATGAATGTAAAAATTGTGTTTGGAATGCAAACGGGAATGTCAATTTTCCATAAAATTTACGTTAATTTTATATCACCGTTTACATATCACAGAGGTGACATTTCTGCAAACATGTTGACATTTTCTTGACAATGGTTTGCGTAAAAATGATATAAAATGGACAAAAAATGTACATTCATTTTACGTAAAATTAACATAAACATGCTGTTTGGGCAGCTACCATCTAGGGACAGAAGAGTGAACTACGTGGTCTGACAACCATTTGAATGAGAAATGTTCGCGCCTGTTTTTATTCGACCTAAGTCGGATACGGTAGCCTAAACTTGAAAAGGCTTATCCGACCGGAGGTCGGATGTGGTAGCGAACGTGTTAAGTATCAGCTTCATGATAGGTTCCTGAATCTATTCGTGTTGTTGAGCAGAAGGATTGTGAATTAAATCCTGAATAGAATGAAAGAGCTCGTAGTTGAAACGTATTGAGGGTATTGTTCACCTGTGCTTCATAATCTATTTGAATCGGTTATATGAAACTCCTCTTCGATACACATATGGGGTCAGCTCCGTAGATGGGACCAAGCTTCGGGTATCGAATCATCTGCAACTCATTATAGCTAGGCTGATCAGAACCAAGTATACAGAGTCTGGCCAAATCCTGGAAACTGAACAAAACCCTGAACTTGAGCAGATTTCTCCAGCTTTATTGCATCATGGAGTCAAACCCGAACTTGCAGTGTCCAGTTAAAACATAAAATCCTCTAGTACTGTATATCAAGAAGAAACTGTTATAATTTCACTAATACATAACCCATTTGCCCAGGCGTGGCCGCTATCTGGAACTCCCCCACACTGCCTATCCGCGGTGGGACTGAGAGCGTCCTAACATCTAGCGGAAGAAATAGGAACCGAGCGGTTCACTTTGCATTCGCTCGGTGTCAGTCGATTCCAGGAAGTCTCGAGGACTAGGTACTGGGGCGGGGATTTCATCCTCCATTCCCTTACTCATGCATCAATCCAGCTCGAATGTGTCTGTGGAATGTGAACTGTGATCCATGCAAGTAGCACCGTGACCAAATGGTGAACGAGACATTGCATTGAGTCTTCGAACTTGTATATTTATTTTCTACTTTCTAAGCTCATCACAGACAAGAATTCCATCTGTGCCCCAAGTCTCTGCAATCGCTGAAGAATTATTAGGCATTGTAAATAAGAAAAATGTTATGAAGTCATCTGAAAGAACATTTTATTCTACATCTTTCTGAAGTGTTTCAAAATGTTGTTTCCTTCTTGGGATCGTCGAACGCTTTGGGTATGAAAACAGTGGATGAAAGAGGTCAGCTTGATCGCGAAGCTCTTGAAGAGTAGTGTCGATGGGATTCTCCACGACTGCTCGTGAAAATCGACTTTCTGTAGGTTTTTGCATATTATGTGTTTCCACTTTTTCCTCCAAGATGGGTCCGATGTGTTCACGCATATTCAAATCCGGGGAATTTCCGGGCCATTGAGCATTATCAAAAAGTCCATACCGTTCTCTCGTAGGAGCTGTTGAGTGGCCAATACCACAAAGCACGGTGCTCCATCATGGAGGAGAGTGACTTAATGTCATACCATAAGTGTTTAGAATCTGTTCGATGATGCGAAGGTGGGAATACAGAAATTTGAAACACCTTGGAATGATGTAAAATAAAATGCCCTTCCAGATGACTTCATTCAATTTTCAATTTTTCGACATCGGTCTTCTCTACAGGGGCGTTTCCGCATCATTCCAGGCACCCCGTACGAAACTCAGGATAGCAGGATGGGGTGTGAGTACATTTGCAGATAAAATATTTAAATTTAAAAAAAGAGAAGGGAAAGGAAAGCGAAACCTGGGAAATGATGAGATGGGAAAGCTCAGAGATGTGAGAGACTCCCCCGAAGATAGCCAGATGCTCTTCGTTGGTCAGGGAACTGAGACGCTTCAGCGGTTTCCCATACACTTCCTCCACCCCCCTCAATGCTACCTCGTATTCCCTCTCGTCCAGCCACACTCCTTCCGTCATGAAGTAGCGACGATCTGTCTCTGTATCCAAGAAAATCTCAGCATTGTCAGTAAAAATGAAAAATGACCACTATTTGAACTTGCACACGAACTTGACATACAGTACACCAGAAATATTTGAAATTATGTTAAGTATGAATAACCACAAACAGCATCACTCTCAGACTGACCTCCGCGTCTGTCCCGAGAGACAAGAGGATAGTCAATTTTAATGACGTCACCATCCAGGAGGATGACGTCTGCGGCGAGATCCACCTCGGACAGGGAATCCGCCAGGCGGACTCTCAGCGCCGTGCTCCTTAGTTCCACCATCAAGCTCCTCAACAGCTCTTCCACCTTCATTCCGCTGCATCCAACCAGCTTCACCCATGAAGGAAAGAAAGGGAAAAGTCGCGTGAAATTAATGATGAATTTTAAAAAATCACATACGGCATACGCCATTACACCACTTTTGATTTTCGGGCACAAGCATATGCCTGCCTTTTGAGAATGTTAACTAAGGGGCTGCAAGCTTTAACAACGTGGGATTATGATGAAACGCTCGAAAAGTGCAAGAGAACTTGAGCATCCTGCATGTGTCGAAAGCTAACAGTCTCCTGTTTGTGAGGCTGAAGGGACCCTTCTTACAAAATCCAGAAAGGTATGTTGGATCGCTTCAAAGTCACAGAAGTCTCTGATGACATGAGATCAACGAGGTGCCAAAGGCCATCTTACTACAACGATGATTGCATATGAGTATGCAATGACTAAATAATGCAACCGCCGACAGACAGGTAAAAACATTTGAGCAACCTTTGTGGAAAGAATATTGCACTCAATGTACAAAATGCACAACATTTCAATTTCTGATATTGTCACTGCAACTTACAGCCTGTAACTGCGTGAAATCTAACACAGTAAAATTTGTCGAAGAAGGACTGCGAATCGGACATGGATTTTTCTTCTCTTACATGTTGGCACATCTCTGATTTTTTTAAATGATCCCATGGTCCTCTCCCCGATACATTATCATTGATGTATAACATAAAGGAGAAGACTCAAGTGCATGCTTTTTAGCTATGTTGTAACCTATTTATAGACCTTGAGTACATCGCAGTCACATCTTACGGGGTTGTATACTTGGGGTTTCACAGATTCTAACGCAGAGTGAAAAAAGCTCCAATTTAATTCCCGACTCAAATTTACCAAAAAGAAAATGCTCTAAAGTGCAAATAGAATTTTCTGTTTAAATACCACGTTGAAGGAAATGCGTGGGCAGCAAGCCGATGAATATAAAATAGAGGAACGATGACATCCTATCCCTTTTGTGCAGACACGAGCAGGTCGCGCGCGCTCTCTCGTGGTCAGTATATGAACTATCGCCTTTGTCTACATGGAAGAGATGCCGCTTGTATCGTAATAACGCGATCACGTTCGAAGGCGTGAGATGTTCCCCGAAGGGGGGTGTCAATGAACACCAGCACCTCGTAATGGTCATAATGCAGTGCAGTGTCACGTACTGCTGTGCCCAACTAATTATGTGTCATTAAGGCCGCTAATGATCAGCACGAGGAAAAAGATGGAAAGAATCAGAGCCCCGTGTTCATCATTCATTATTCATTCATTCTGACTCTTTGATCAAATGGAGCCTTCATGCGAAACACCAGGCTCCAGATGTCCCGAACTTGTCATATCACAATTTCGTGAATATTCATCCGGCTCTGATGACGATGGGAAAAGAAAGACAAAGATGAGATCCCACATTTGTCATCTCCGTTCCACTTGGATTAGATTTGAGGAAAAAAAAAGCCAGAAAAAAAGCCCTCAGCGTAACGCCTCACTGCAGCCATTCGATGAGACCTCGTCCCACGTGAAAATGGCGAAAGAGAAAATCTGTGAATGAAAATGGAGGACAGAGGGAGGCATGAAAATGAGCAAGAATGAAAATTTCTCCGTTGAAATTTTTGTATTCTGGCACACAAGGAATGACTCAGATTTAATCGAATTCGTATGTGAGTTTCGACAGAAAAGATGAGTCCAGACTCGGATTCGCAGTTACTAGCGGTCCGACAAGGAAGACGTGAGTAGGATCAGGAGCAGCAGAAAAACCCTTCCAGGAGTCCTTGTCACTAAAAGAAGGAAGGATGGGACGGGATAAGAAGCGATCTTCAAGGGCAGACCTGACACTGTTTGCTTCTTATGATTGCCGGACGGGATGGACTTGGACAACCCATGCTGGATTTACAGGATTCGTGATTCTCGTCACGTCTTTGGTCCTTTCCGCCTTGGGCATTAGCTTCCTCGTCGGCGCATACGCTCATCATCTCTAGTACCCCCCCTCCCCTCCCCAAAATAAAGAAAAAAAAACCTCATGGAATCATCACCTCACGATCCCTCTCATTCCTAGTCGGAAGGTGACAATCTTCCAGGTCCTACATTTTATAGGTCCTGGGGAATCTCATGAGGTATTCATGAAATTACAACCCAAATCCCAAAAGATCTACTCTAGTTCCCCAATTGCTTTTGACTCGAAATTGCCAGGTTCAGGATACCTTTGGGCCATACAGCCCAAAGGTATCCTGAACTCTACAAAATCATACCAACTCTGAACCGACAAACAACTCCATCCTACTTCTGTCTGCAGTGCCATCTAAGTTTTTTATCGTTGCCGGAAATGATTATTATTCCAGACACGAAAACATCTTATTCTGACGTATAGGGAAGTCCTCAGAAAGAATCGCACGACGAAAAAACTTGAAATTGTTATTTGTCTTTCCAGGAGTTCTCAGGCCAAGACTCTTTACTTCACATAATACTTTCGTTGATGAATATTGATCATTTTACGCTCAACCGTCTCTGTATTGATTCAGAGTTCTCTGCAGAAAGCAGAATTAGGGGGGGAAATAAACACCTTGTCTCGAAGAAGAAAGGAAATCAATATTAAAGAAACGCCTGGGGAAATATATAGAAAGAGTACTCGTAAAGTGCGCCTGGTTCGGAGGCGGACAAGGGCCTTGACATCCCCAAGGCAGGGGAACAGGATGAAGGTGAGTCAAGGACCACGATCACTGGTAAAGGGTCCTACAAGAGAAGGGCCACGGACTATGAGGGCAAGGACTATGCTAAGACAAGGTTTTCGACTAGGAATCTGCATGGAAGCAAAACACGGAAAATATTGAATCGCACCAATATCGATCGGAGACTCTCAAAAATAAAAAAAGGCCCCAGAGTAACGGAAAGATCGCACAACAGATCGTACAACTCCAATAGTCATTATAAAAGCGGCTGTCGGAGGTAGGGCGGGGGGGCCAGTGGAAGAGGGAGGGTGGAGGTTAAACAGATTGCGGCCGCGGGGTGCCGGAGAAGGGTTGGATGGGTTCATCCACTGTGCGAGGGTGTTCTCGTGGGCGGATGGTCGTGATTTTGAGACATCCTCCCGCGTCTTCTTATCCGGTCTCACTCTCGGTCTCCTCATCCCTTCTGCTTCCAACCGTAACCCCCCTCCCCCCTCCAAAAAATTTCATTCGCCCCATTCTCCCTCGCTTTCTTGGTTTCACTTTCTAATTGAAAAGTAGTATTTCAGAGTTTTGGGCTTCATTTATTTCGACTCGCATTTTTGCAAGTACCTCGTTTGAAGTTCTACTTGTGTTGTACATAGGCTTCTGTTTACTGACGCTTTCTACAGCCCCTTTCCTAACTGTTGGTCTAATTCCGTTCCTAGACATCGAGAGATGGTTCAATAGTTGAGGACGATAAATGAACCACATTGATGCGGATCGTGATTTGGATGGCAGGGAATGTAAATGGAACGAATGAATGTCTCATTCACTATAAATATAATCAAGGGATTACCCTGAGGTGTCACGACCGATCTGATGGATGGTGCAACCCCGATCCAAACATGGACCCCACACTCCTTTTAATATCATGTAAGGCGTGATAATGAGAAGGGAGGAAAGGCGCACCGGGTGCACCGGAAATGACGAAGCCGGAGGGAGAGAATGTCTCTCGTTTTCGGTCTCTCATTGACACACTTTCACTGCATACACACTGTAAGGGCTGTCATCCATTCTCCTCTTTTTTTCTACGTATTAATTACACTCTGTCTGATGACTCTATATCTACTATAAAGACTTCCTTCATAGTGTTTTGTGCTTTGATCGAGGCCTAAGACGCCGCCCCGCTCTCTTACTTCATATTTGGAACGCTCTTTTGGCCGTCTTTTTCCCAATTGGAACTAAGAATAAGCTTAGAGGATATGTCAATAGAAAATTAAGGATTTCATCAACGACGCAACACTTATAATGCAAATTACATGGAACACTAAATTTTAAAAAGTTAATAACTTATTTTTAAAAAGTTAATTTCTGGAACCCATACATTCAACGGACATGAAATGGATATTAGAATGAAAAAATGCTTGATCAATTATTTCACTAGAGAAAACAGCAAAAGTCTCTAATATGCAAAAAGACAATGCCTGAATGACATCGTCCGTTGTTTGACAAGTGATTATTATAAGTGAAATGCATTTATTCTTTTTACCATTGTCCATAAGGAATAAAAAAGAAGAAAGTAAACGCAAGAGTAATAATGCAAATAAAAATGAATAGGGTAAAATTTTTTAATTGGAAACCTGCTACCGAGTCCACCATCAGGTATCAGAAAGAAACATAAAAACAACTTTACAAGAAGCAAGCTTCCCGTTTATAGAAAGCAGTGCGTTGTTGGTGAATATTTTCATGGCATGAATAAAAGTTGAGAGGCACGGGAAGGAAGTTGGGAGGCAGATCACGTGGAATGGAGAGAGACCTGCTGACCTAGTGAAGAGAAATCCCCCGAGGGACATTTAAGAGGAAGAATTCGGACGTAACCTCTTACATAATGCATGCCATCAACGTTTCAAAAAACCGTCCTCTTTCACTCCGGCCAGCCCCTCTTCTCATCTTTTTATTTATCCTCTGAAAAAAGTCAGCAATTATGGAATACCTGGCATGAGTAATTCGCATGTCGCCGAAGGGCTTCACAAGAGAACAGATGCTAAGACCGGTTTGTTAATAATGGTGTTAGTTACGAACATCCTCCAAGATTTGATGAAATTCCAGCAATATTCTGATTTCAGTGTCCACCATTATGATGGTGTTAAAAAAGGGAGGAAATTAGTCCATTAGCCCATATGTAAGGAAAGTACAGTATAGCATTTAACAGGAATGTTATACATTCGCCTACGTTCAATTTCAGACTCATGATGGAGAAGATAAAAAGCCATTGGAGGAGTGAAAAAGGAATTCAATGGGTAGCGCTAATAAAGAATGATGAGCCGATGTGAATTCGCGTTTCCTCATCCGAATTGCCTACATGGA